AACATTACTCGGAGAGAATTCAAAAAAAAATGGCTGGACGAGAGGGAATGCAAGATCTCCAAAAGAATCTGACCCATACTCTCGAAGATGAGAACAAAGTCGCTACTGTCATTATCTAAACCTGACATAAAACTTGTGCGGGGTATCATCACAAGTCACTACAAGGTGAGGGTAATGACCTCGAAATGTGATAGCGATGACATTTATTACTGTAGAATATGTCAGGACGAAGAAGAAATTGAGACGATCGAACATCTGCTCTGCCACTGTCCAGCACACATTAACGTGAGACACAGGCTGGTGGGGGAACAAGTGTCACATGATTTGTCTTCGTTCTCTAACACAGACCCTACAGTAAGTCTTCAATTAGCCAGAAGATTTAAGTGGCTAAAGACGACACGGCAAGATCTCTAGCCGCGGAGCACCTTCACACATATATTTTTTTAAATCTCTAATACTCTACTTTTTCTATGGGAGCTATATCCAAATCTGAACCGATCTCGATAAAATTTATCAGAGGTATTTCTGGGCTGTACCTGCTAACTGGTACCAATGATCACTTTTATGGAGTCCATATTACGCATGTGAGGGCATTAACACCCCAAATAGTATGAGAAATATATATGGAAGCTATAGCTATATCTTTACCGATCTTGAAGTATTTGCCTCTAGACTGAATTCGGTCGAATGTACCAAAATTCAGACCATTTGAGCTGATATTTGCAATTTGGTGCATAATAAACTTGAAGTCGGATAAAGATAAATATGGGAGCTATATCCAAATCTGATCCTATCTCGATGAAATTTAACAGAGGTATTTTAAGCCTGTATCTGCTAACTGGTACCAAATATCATTGCTGTGGAGTACATATTACGCATGTGAGGGCATTAAAACCCCAAATCGAATGAGAAATATACACGGGAGCTATAGCTATATCTGAACAGATTTTCACCAAATTTGATGTATTTGCTTGTAGACAGAATTCGGACAAATGTGCCAAAATTCAGACCATTTGAGCTGATATTTGCAATTTGGTGCACAATAAACCCGAAATCGGTTGAATATATATATGGGAGCCATATCCAAATCTGAACCAATCTCGATAAAATTTATCAGAGGTATTTCTGGGCTGCACCTGCTACCAAATATCATTGCTGTGGGGTGCATATTACGCATGTGAGAGACTTGAAACCCCAAATCGGATGAAAAATATATATAGAAGCTTTAGCTATATCTGAACAGATTTTCACTAAATTTGATGTATTTGCTTGTAGACAGAATTCGGATTTAAGCTGATATTGGCAATTTGGTGCACAATAAACCCGAAAAAATCTGTTCCGATCTCGATAAAATTTGACAGAGGTATTTCTGGGCTGTATCTGCTAACTGGTACCAGAGATCATTGATTTGAAGTGCATATTACGCATGTGAGGGACTTGAAACCCCAAATCGGATGACACATATACATGGGAGCTATAGCTATATCTGAACCGATTTTCACCAAATTTGATGTATTTGCTTGTAGACTGAAATCGGTCAAAAGTGCCAATATTCAAGTCTTTTGAACTGATATTGGCAATTTGGTGCACAATTTGAACCGATTCTCACCAATTTTAATAGGGTTCGTCCTTGGGCCCAGAAAATATTGTTTGGTAAACTGCATCTCAACCAACTGAAAGTTTTTTTCACAAAAATACGTGAACAGACGGACGGACTGAAATGCATAAATCAGCTTAGAAAGCGATTCTATGAAGATCATTAAAAGTAACTACAGGTCTATCTCGCTTCCTCCTTCTCCTTGTTACAAACAAATGCACAAAATCATAATACCCTTGCCGCTATGTGGTGTAGGATATACATATTCACGTTTGTAAGGCAGTTGGTCCTCCAAAACCATTTGTTAAATCACGTTAGAAGATGAGTAGGTCTCGACCAAAAAATAATCCTCTAAAAATATGAGTTTGAAGTTCTGTAAGACTTTGCATAAAAAATTCTCAAAATATTCAAGTCGGAAGTATAGTTAGGTTCTCAAAAATTTTATTTTTAAAAACCCCAATTCAGAAGATCGATTCTCAAAGCGTCCACCGAAAGGGTCCCCGAAAATTGTTCATAAAATATCCCCACTTTAAGTTCCACACCGTCTTGAAAAATACTCTTTAAAAAATCCCCACTTTAAGTTCTGTTTAGCTTGAAATATGCTCTCTTTAAATATCCTCGCTTGAAGTTCGGTTGGGCCTTGAAAAGATTTTCCAAAAAAAAATATCCACGTTTGAAGGGCAGACAAAATTCGTTAAATCACGTTGAAAGATAAGTTGGTTCCGTTACGCCTTGGTTGGTTCCGTTTTGTTTAAAACAAACTGATTTTTTTTCCAAAAAAAAAAAAAAGAAAAAGACAAAAGTGTCAGACTTGACATCAAAAACATAATGCCTCTCGACATTCCGGAACATGTTATTCTTATCGGAACAAATACAAAAATAAATAAATTGAACTATGCCTCGCGACAATTAATTTATGTGTGTGTGAGAGTGAGCATAAACCGTTGTGAAATTTCAAATTCTTGCTTTTTTAGAGATATTTTTAGAATTAATTGCGCTTCAGTTCTTTTTTTGCGGGCGGACACCCCAAGCTGCACTCCAAATGTGCTGAAACGCATTTGGTTCATAGAGACCTAGGGTCCAAACCATTATTTCGACTAGGTACTTTTTGACCGTATCAAATGATTTCGGAGTGAAATGAAAAAACTGCAACCAAATTCAGACTGCTGTCATTTCTAAGCCACTCGTCCGACAGCTGTTAAAATTATTCCAGTAACAGTTCATTATTTGTTTACAAGCGTACAAAAGCTTTTTGGTAAGAATTTTCCAGAAAAAAAGTTATTCCTGAAGGAATTCAAGCGTGATAGTGTGATTTCTTTATATTTGGCTGGAAAGCCGCAAGTGGTTAGCGTTAGAGCACTCCAGCATTTAAATGTGAATAAATCTTTTGTGTCTCCTACCATCGCTTGTTACCGTGATACTAGGAAGCGTAGCTCGACGTCAAGAAAGAAAACAACAACATCAGCAGAAATCGTTCGAAAAGAAAAGAAGCAACTTAATCGAAATCTGCGTCGCAGTGGCCGAAAAATGGCTTGTGAGCTGAACATATCGCAATATTCCATTCGGAATATTCCAATGGGCAAAGCCATTGAAATTCCAAAAAGTGCAGGAACTTACACCGCAACAGAAAGAAAATAGACTCAAAAGAGCTAAAGAGTTACTTCGCTTGGTCGAAAGTGGTGAACTGCCGAATTTGGATTTCTTTGATGCGAAAACATTCGTTATCCAGCTGTTTGAAAACAAACAAACTAATCGTGTTTACTTGCCAAAGAGGTCAGGTGAAAATATGCACCTTCGGTTGGCCACCAGAACTCAAGCGCCGTCCATAGTGATGGTGTGGGCCGCCATAACAGCCAATGGTCGCTCTCAGCTCGTATTAATCGACCGTGGCATCAGAATAAATGCCGAATATTATAGCGAAAATATTCTGGAGGGTGTATTAAAGCCTTGGCCACGCAAACATTTTGGCCGCAGACCTTGGACTCAGCACCATCGCTCACTCTCAGGCCGCGCCACCCAAGAATGGTTCCAAAATGAGGTTTCTCTCTTCATTTCCAGCGCACAGTGGCAACCAAAACTTCCGATACCAATCCGTTGGACTATTGTGTCTGGAGTATTTTGGAAAGCAAGGTTGGCACTAAAAAATACCAATGTGTCGATCACCTCAAGCAAGGGCTTCGCCGGAAATGGGACAAAATACCGCAGAACAACAATCGGGCAGCGTGTGACGGTTTGGCCCTTTGAATGGCATAATACGGGCCAAAGGTGACCAATTCGAACAAATCTAAACTAATTCTAACTTTTGATGCTATTTCCGAAATTTTTTGCTTTCAAAAAAGTTAAAATTATGGCGTTCGACTTTGTTGCAGTTTTTATCTCACCCTGTATACCCTCTCGGGCAATCGGGCATGCAAAAATTTGGCCGCAGACGTTGGGCACTCCAACACCCAAGAAAGGTTACAAAATGAGGTACCTCGCTTCATTTCAAGCGCACAATGGTCACCAAAATCTCCGGATACCACCAATCTGTTGGACTATTGTGTCTGGAGTATTTTGATAAGCAAGATTGACACTAAAAAATACCAAAGTGTCGATCACCTCACGCAAGCGCTTCGCCGGGAATGGGCCAAAATACCGCAGAACAACATTCGGGCAGCGTGTGACGGTTTCAGCCCATAATTCGTATCCAAGATGACCAATTCGAACAAATCTAAACTTATTCTAAAATTTAATGCTATCTCCCACATTTTTTGCTTTCATTCAAAAAAATTGAAAAAAAAAATGCAAAAATTATGGCGTTTGACTTTGTTGCAGTTTTTTTTTGCTTACCCTGTATACCCTCTCTGGCCATACGGCCAAGGGTATAAAAAGCGTGATAGCTAAGGGCTAGTTTTCACATCTTTTTAGGGTCATATGTAAAGTTATTTTTTAACATTTTGTGATTAACAATTTTGTAGCAGAATTTTAGGTGCACACAACAAATTTCAAACTTTAACGAAACGCTCTACTTTTCGAAATACATATATACTGTTCTACCATGCTATATAATATATCTACATATATTATGTTTACATTACACATATGCATTGTAGTGCCGGGAGCAAGCACGATATACACTCTTAGTTTAGTAAACACTAATTATCAATTTTTGTAAAGCCAGACGCTGAAAATACGCTTTAGTCATTAAAACAAAACATTATAGTTTTAAGTATTTCTTTCTTCACTTCAAAATTGTAAATTTTCGTGTTAAAAAAAAAAGACTCAATAAAAATTTGAATTGAATTACACATATGCTATGAATATTACAAATTATCCTTTCAGATAACAAATTACTTTAAGCGCCTAAAAGTATGCTATAAAAAGTGATTAACAGAAATGTAGAAATGTAACATTAGGTACTTACTTTTGCACCGGCAATCGATGCTTTAGACTCCTTAAGGTTAGATGAGCAATGGCAATACCCATATTTGCACCCAATATCACAGTTAGGAAGCCCCGTATCAAACCGAATAAGTAACCGGCCGTTATCATCAGTACAAAATAGCCAACAACAATGGGAAAACTAACAACAACAAACAGCAGCATGAATACAGCAAATATTACCCAAGGATTTTGCGTTTCAATCCAAAAGAGCAGACGTTTCGCATAGTCCCGCGTCAAATAGGCCACAAACATTAGGGCCAAGAGTATGGAAAGCGGTACCAAATAGCTGAGATACCAATTGCGGGAGATAAAGGCATTGGCGCGATAGCAGATTGAGGAGCGGGTTTTACTATTTGCACGGTGTGTGGAACGACGATTTTTTGCACTTAACAATGGCGGTGGAGAAGAGGAGTTCGTCGAGGCAGCTGCAGCTGCGGCGGCATCGGCAATGCCATTGCTGCTAATCAAAAATGAATCGTGCTCGTCACAGTCCTCTTCGTTGGCACATAGAGACGCGGCGGCAGTATGAATCATTCCCTCCAGGGGTGTTGTATTGTTGCAGCCAATAAGTATGGCACTGCCGTATTCACTATCACTGTCGGTTAGACTGGTATTAATGCGTCCATTAAAACTATCCTGTTTTATGATGGTGGACTTGGGTTTCAGCGACATGCCATTATAGCTGTTGCTTTTATGCAATAGAAGACTTGTGGCAGGTGTGGCGGCAATGGCTATTGCTGGCGTTGGCGATTCCAGGCGTTCTAATGCTGGGTCATCATCCAGCTTTAGATGCATGGGTTCGGTTTTGCTATTACTCAGAGTGTAGTCACGATGACAGGGCGATCTTTCTATTCCAGGAAATTGATAAAATGTCGCCGAGCCAGAGAGATTATTTTTATGGTGGCTGTTGGTGTTGAGACCACTTTGATAACCTACACCACCACCACCACAGTGAGATTTATATTGATTTTCTTCAAATGAAGAAACTCGACTTAGTGTTAGAGTACTGGATACACTCATAATTAGTTACGCCAGGCCGGATTAGAGTAGTAGATATTGCCAATTTTTGCCACAGGACTAGGGGCTAAAGGTGAGCAGAATTCCTTTGGATTGGATGTAAAGGGTGTAAAGAAAATAGAGAGCTTTGGCTGTTTTTTTTTTCCTTTTTGCGATGCCAACAAGATTTACATATTTGAAATTGGAGTCTAGATAAATTTGTAGTTTAAGACTTCAAGGAGCAAATATTTGATGAACTGCAAAGAAAAAAACGAGAAATTCAATTTTAATACCCCGGAAAATATTTTAGTTTTAGTAAAACAAGTTAAAAAGTATCAGTCGGTTTTGCCGACAGATGAATATCCAATTTTTGACCCTCTGTGGAGTAGGTTCGGAAGAAATGGGTCAATATTGCCCACTTCGTATCGGACCTAAATAAATATGATATACAAAAAACTGCAAGAAAGTTCTAAAACGAAATGACGTCATTTTTGAGGCAAAAATCGGCAAATCGTCATTTCCCAATTTTTGAGTAAAAAATCGTGAAAATGGCAACCCTGATACAGACTCATATATTTACCAACGTTGTGCAATCTTTATGCATTTGTTTTTCTCTCTTTGCTTTTGCAAATTGTTTTATATCCCAGCAAAACTTTTTTGGGCCGTCACATCAATGCCGCTGTGTTAGCGGAACACGAACGAACAGCTTGCAACTGGATGGTTCGTTTGTTATTTCTCATTCGAGTAGGCAACGCGATTACATGTTTGCACAAAGATTGCAATTTGTTTTCATAGATTTGCCTTCGGTTCGTGTAACCCATCTTTCAATTCTCTGTCGTTATTTTCCTTTTGGTCTAACATATTTTACATTGTCTACTTTCTTCCTATTGTTCTTCCCATTATATATAATCACCTGTAACCTCCTAATGGAACTTTTATTGACTTTTCGATTTCATCAGGAAATTCGATGTCTGCACATTTGAGACTAGGTGTCATATCAGGAGCCTTATTGCCGATAATCAACAAAGATCGATGCCAAAGCAGTCCAGTTTTAAGTTGGACCTTCTGCTGGTGAGAATCGATTCAAATTTAGATATAGCTCCCATATATATCTTCTACCGATTTCGGGTTAATTGTGCACCAAATTTAAAGTACATCAAATTTAAAGAATATCGATTCAGATAGAGCTATAGAACCCATATATATGTTTCCTCCGATTTAGAGTAAGTCCCGCACATGGGTAGAATCCAAGGTACAAGAATAATATTTAGTAATAGATATCAGCTCAGAAATAAGAGCTTGTCAAAATCGGTTAATATTTGGATATATAAGAGGAGATGAAAAAACTGCAACCAACTTCAGGCTGCTGTCATTTTTAAGCCACTCGTCCGACAGCATTAAAAATTATGGCAGTGACATTTCCTTATATTGTTTACAAGCGTACAAAAGCATTTTGCGGAGAATTTTCCAGAAAAAAAGTTATTCATGATGGAATTCTAGCGTGATAGTGTGATTTCTTTATATTTGGCTGGAAAACCACAAGTGGCTATCGTTAGAGCACTCCAGCCTTTAAATGTGAATAAATCTTTTGTGTCTCGTACCATCGCTCGTTACGTAACGTAGCCCAACGTCAAGGAAGTGGACGGAAGAAAACAGCAAAATCGGCAGAAACGGTTCGAAAAGTAAAGAAGTGACTTAATCGAAACCCGCTTCGCAGTGGCCGAAAAATGGCTCGTGTGCTGAACATATCGCAATATTCCATTCGGCAAATATCGGAAAATGAGCTCGGGGTCATTGCCATTGAAATTCCAAAAAATGCAAGAACTAACACCGCAACAGAAAGAAAATAGACTCAAAAGAGCTAAAGAGTTGCTTCGTTTTCGCAAAAGTGGTGAACTGCCGAATTTGGTTTTCTCCGATGAAAAAACATTCTTTGTCCTGCAGTTTGTAAACAAACAAAATGATCGTGTTTACTTGCCAAAGAGGTCAGCTGAAAATGTGCACCTTCGGTTGCCAACCAGAACTCAAGTGCCGGCCATGGTGTGGGTGTGGGCCGCCATAACAGCCGATGGTCGCTTTCCGCTCGTATTAATCGTCCGTGGCATCAGAATAAATGCAGAATATTATCGCGAAAATATTCTGGAGGGTGTATTAAAGCCTTGGGCACGCAAACATTTTGGCCGCAGACCTTGGACAGGACTCAGCACCATCGCACTCAGCACGCGCCACCCAAGAATGGTTACAAAATGTGGTTCCTCGCTTCATTTCCAGTGCACAATGGCAACCAATATCTCCGGATACGAATCCATTGACCTAATGTGTCTGGAGTATTTTGGAAAGCAAGGTTGGCACTAAAAAATACCAAAGATCACCTCAAACAAGCGCTTCGCCGGTAATGGGTCAAAATACCGCAGAGCAATATTCGGGCAGCGCGTGACGGTTTCATTTGCCGTTTGAAGGCCATAATTCGTGTCAAAGGTGACCAATTCGAAAAAATCTAAAATTATTCTAAAATTTGATGCTGTTTTCGACATTTTTTGCTTTCATCCAATGAAATTTAGAAGTAAAGAAAGTCCAAAACCTCTGTTGTTATGATATCGTAATCGCTTAGGCAATATACAATTAACTGGGAAAGTCTATTGAGTAGAATATTGAAACCCAATTTTTTGATTTTTCAAACTTTTGTTTGTCTTTTTGTTCTATAAATGCCTTTTTTATATTAGCATGGTCCTGTCATGAGCTGTTATCTAGATAGTATAGACACAAACCATTTGCTCAAAATGAATTTTGTCTAGTCTTTACCATTTTAGGTCTTTGTTTGCTAATTTAGTAGAGCTCCACATAACAATTAAAAGTTTTTATGGGAGAATTTAATCATACACGCTATGATTATAATTATAATTTAAAGTTCAAAGGACTAAATATGCCGAAGCATTTGTATCTTTTAAATTCGGACTTGTATTGCCCATTTGGTGCAAAATTAATTTGAAATCAGATAAAGATATATATGGGAGCTATATCCAAATCGGAACCGATCTCGATAAAATTTGGCAAAAATATTTCTGAGCTGTATAAGATATATTTCCCTGAATATCGTTGTTACGGAGTGCATATTACGGCTGTGGGTAACAAATACAACAAATCGGATGAACAATATATATGGGAGCTATAGCTATACCTGAACCGATCTTCACCAAATTTGGCATACTAGCTTCGAGACTCAATTCAATCGCATGTGCCAAATCCCATCCCATTTGGATAAAAATTAGACGTTTGGGGCACAATAAAAGGCAAATCGGACGTTATAAGTTATATATGGGAGCTATATCCAAATCTGAACCGATCTCGATAAATTTTAGCAAAGGTATTTCTGAGGTGTATTCGATATATTTCCCCAAATATTGTTGTTACAGAGAGCATATAACGGCTGCTGAGGATAAAAATAACAAATCGGATGAACAATATATATCGGAGCTATTAGCTATATCTGAACCGATTTCAATCAAATTTGGCATATTTATTTTCAGGCCTAATATGGTTGTATGTGCAAAATTCCATACTATTCGGGCTGATATTACACGTTTGCTGCACAATAAAAGGCAAATCGGACGAAGATATATATGGGAGCAATATCTAATTTTTTACCGATTATCTCCAATTTCAATAGGGTTCGTCCTTCGTTGCTAAACAAATGTTGTTTGGAAAATTTCATCTCAATCGGATAATAAATGCGACCTGCATTTTGTTCACAAGAATACATGGACAGACGGACGGACATGCATAAATCAACTCATCTATGGAGATCATCAAAAGGAACTATGGGTCTGTCTCGTTTCCTTTTGCCTGTTACAAACAAATGCACAAAGACATAATACCCTTACCACTATGTGGTGTAGGGTATAAATACAAATTATGGCGTTTGACTTTGTTGCAGTTTTTTTTTTATCTCACCCTATATATTTTTCGTCCGATTTGATGTTAAAGTGTCTCACATGCCTAATATGCACTCCACAACAATGATATTTTATACCAGGCATCAGATACGAAAAAATCTCTGCCAAATGTTGTCGAGATCGGTTCAGATTTGTATATATCTGGGATATACATCTTTATCCGATTTTACGGTTATTGCTCACCATATATGTAATATCAGCTCAAATTGAATTGATTTTTACATATTCAATCGTATTGTATAATTTGGCGAAACTCGCGGTGCGGTATATCTATTGCTCAAATAATTTTTTTTTTATATAATTCGTATCGAAGTCATATCAGCACACCTTCACATAAATGTTTTATTTGTGCGAAATATTAAAATGCACAAACATTGAATAAAAGTTTGTTGGGTTACAAAAATTGCTCTATCTCTCACTCTCTCTCCCTCTCTCCGTGTCTGGTGTACGCTACTCTCGTAAAAGTAAAGCTATTGTTTTCCACAAAGAGCTGACTCATATTTCGGTTTAGTATATTTTCGAACGTCCAAAATGGCGGGTGCTTCTGGACAAAACGAACCGCCCCAGCCTAAAATTAGTTTGTTTGATCTTGAATTTAACGAAGATCTGTACGAAGAGGATATTTTCGAGGTCGCCAATGTCGATGAAACACATGTATTTCTTCAACCATTTTATAATGCCCGCACAAACTTCGGCCTAGGTATGCGCCTGCACATACTCCTTTGTGATGAGCACCATGGGGATCCCGAGATAAACGATATCAGGCGTTTTTTCCACAACATACAAGTAAGAGCTAAAATTTTCGAATTCGACTATTACCCCGAAAGACCTCAGAGAGTCTACGAGAAATTAAAAACAGGTACGTACATTCGATATGCCTGCATTGTGGTGCTTTTGAATATCAACTGCAAGTGCAGAAACAAAATGCTGGTAAAGCTATTGAAGGCGATAAAAAGCAACAAAACTCTACGTAACAAAACGAAACTGATTCTATGCGGCTATCGATTGAATGGTGCCTTCGATATGGAATGTGAACCGTACGTAAATCAAATGGTGGTCGAGAAGTTTCCCCAGCAATTTACGACTACCGGTTATTCGTTCATGCATCGTCCAAAGCCAAAGTGGATACCACCACAACGGCCCGTATGCGCTGGAGACATAACGGAATCGGATGATGATCTGCTGAACGATCATCAAGTTTTTCGCCAGTCCAATGCCGATCACACGCTTTTGATGCAATTATTCACAAAAAAACACGTCGACATTGCACTTCAAATGGAATCAATTGCTCAGTTCCTGTCATATAATCCGCTGATGCCTGTCAATGGGCTGAGTATGATAGAACTTATGTCCGATTTCATTTTGCAGGCCTCAGCAAATGTTGACTACTATTTCTACAGCATAAATCCCGCGCTGGCAATTATATTCAATAGCTTTAGCTTTAAAACAGATCACGGTGTAAGGCAGGGCAGTGAAGAGAATGTCCGACGCATCATTCAAGAACTGAAAGTTATCAATATTCCGTTTGTGCTTATCCAAGATTGTACTACTCAGGAATTTATCAACATCCTGCAGTACCTCAAGCACGGCAATTTCGCTATACTAAAAACGCTCATGCTCTTCCTAATGTCCCACGGCGGTATGGGCGATCTAATCTACACTATCGATGGCCAAATACATCTGATCGAGGATGTCGTTAAGCCGCTGCAGGCCAATAATTCCCTGGCCAATGTTGAAAAAATAGTTGTGGGTAACTTCTGTCGTGGATCCATCAATTACCAAGATGATCCCATAAGTACTTTGATGGAAGTTAAACCATCATTCTATCCCAACCTAAGTGGAAATTTCACCATGATGTTTAGTGTGCCAAATCTGGTGGTATCTCCGAGATATCCTGACGAAGGTAGTCCATTTGTTGAAACCTTTTGTCAATTATTGCGCATCATGGAACCCCACGAGGATCTTCGCAAGGTTAAGCAAAAAATCGATGAGCGCCTCAAAGAGGAGCAATTCTATTATCAGGATGCGGAAATTTGCTCCGATATGGCTGTAGGTAATCCAAATATAGTTCATACTATCAACCAGAAACGTACCGGAGCTAGGGAAATGATTAATTTTTTACAATTATTGCATCAAGATTTATCCAATATAATTGGCGATCAGGACGGCTTAACAGAAGAAGCAGCGGCGGTAGGAGAAAGTGTGGAAGTAAAAAGAGTTAGCCGGTTTTTCATTTACGGAAAGCTCCGGAGTAACGCCAAAGATTATCCCAAACACTATTTTATGCAGAAATATTTCGACAAAGAACTGGATAATGATGGAGTCTAGGATGGAGTCACGCTCGTTGCCGTGATACTGATAGGGTAGCCCGATGTCAAGAAAGTGGACGGAAGAAAACAGCAACATCAGCAGAAATTGTTCGAAAAGTAAAGAAGCGACTTGATCGAAACCAGCTTCGCAGTGGCCGAAAAATGGCTCGTGAGCTGAACACATCGCAATATTCCATTCGGCAAATATTGAAAAATGAGCTCTGGGTATAGCCATTGAAATTCCAAAAAGTGCAAGAACTAACACCGCAACAGAAAGAAAATATACTCAAAAGGTCAGCTGAAAATGTGCACCTTCGGTTGGCCACCAGAACACAAGCGCCGGCCATGGTGATGGTGTGGGACGCCATAACAGCTGATGGTCGCTCTCCGCTCGTATGGTATCTCTCCGCTCGTGGTATCAGAATAAATGCGAAAAAAATCTGGAGGGTGTATTTAAGCCTTGGTCATGCAAACATTTTGGCCGCAGACCTTGGACATTCACGTAGGACTCAGCACCATCACACTCAGCACGGGCCACCCAAGAATGGTTATAAAATGAGGTTCCTCGATTCATTTTTAGCACACAATGGCCACCAAAATCTCCGGATACCAATCCGTTGGAATATTGTGTCGGGAGTATTTTCGAAAGCAAGATTGGCAAAAAAAATATACCAAAGTGTCGATCACCTCAAGCAAGCGCTTCGCCGGGAATGGGCCAAAATATCGCAGAGCAACATTCGGGCAGCGTGTGACGGTTTCATTGGCCGTTTGAAGGCCATAATTCATGCCAAAGCTGAAAAATTCGAACAAATCTAAATGTATTTTAAAATTTGATGTTATTTCCGACATTTTTGCTTTCATTCAATAAAATTTAAAAAAAATGTAAAAATTAAGACGTTCGACTTTGTAGCAGTTTTATCTCACCCTGTATGGTCTGAAGTGTTACTCTCACCTCCAATTATGTTACTGAAAAAAGTCTCAATAAATTAAACCTTAAACTTTCTATCGGCAACCTCTTCACCGGTTGTAAGAATACAGGTGTTTGTGAGGATTCAGTAAGACTCTTTCAACTTATCGAGCAGGGAGTATCGAATCTTCAAGCCCCCGTTTTGTATCATTAATTGTTTTCAGGATATCTTTTAATATTTTAATTCAATTAGCTGATTGGGTCACTTGTGATTCAATATTACGTCTTTCCTCTTCCTTGGCTTCATCATATAGGGTAAAGGCTCTAATTTTTCCTCCGAGTTAGTACCTGCCGGCGGAAACATATTTATGTCCTCAAAGTTTCGAGCGGCATCAAAAACACACCAAAGGTAGGAAAGACAATTTTTGCACATTACTCAGCTTCCAGTGCTACTTCTTCCGGACCAAGAAAATAGTACACACGCAAGCATTCCTCAATTTCTGCTTGTGCAGTATCTCCATTCGACTTATAGCCTCGTGTTCTCGTCGTCATTAATTTATGCGACAACACAAGGCATTTATCCACTGCCACTGAACTTTCCTGGATTCTCTGAGGAACGTTTTTTTTTTTTAACTTCTTCAACACGAATCTTATATTTGTTGACGATACTATTTTTATAAATTGACTCATCGATGCCAATGTTGTGCAGAAATAGTCTGCCAGGACTAAGAAACTTACTTCTTGATCCATTTCTTTCGGAATTGCTTTTTTATTTTAGATTGGACATTTTGATGTCCTTTTTTCAAAATATTTTTTTTTTATTTAGGGAGTTCTGTTGTCCTTTTTATATCCTCCACCATAGTATGGAGGGTCTATTAAGTTTGTGAATCCGCTTGTAACACCTCGAAATATACATTTTAGACCCCATTCAAATTCTATGTCGATTTAGCGTTGTCCGTCAGTCTATCCATCTGTGGAAATCACTCTAGCTTCCGAACGAAATGAAGTAGTTTGATACAATTTTACTCAAATGTTTATTATGTCTGCAGGACTTTTGGTATTGAAAATGGGCCATGTAGGTCCTCGTTTTGATATAACCCCCTTATAGTAGTACCTCCATATTTTCGGTATTTTGGCGACATTATGCACCAGAATTGCTTCAAATTTAGTATTTGAATTTCGTAATGGATACTAGAGCCTATGACAGAAAATTGTTAGTGCAGGTCCACGTCTTCGTATAGAACCCATATACCTCCGGATATTGGGTATATACCTCCGGATATTGGGTATTTTTAAGATTTTAGCGTTTCAATTTGGTATTTGAAGTTCGAAATGGATACTAGAGCCTATGACAGAAAATTGGTCATGCAGGTCCACGTTTTGGTATAGCACCCATATAACGGCACCTCTCGATATTCGGTATTTTGATGATTTTAGCAACATTATTCACCGGAAATGATTCAAATTTTATATTTGAAGTTCGAAATGGATACTACAGCCTATGACAGAAAATTGTCTGTGCAGGTCCACGCTTTGGTGTAGCCCCCCAGATAATAGTAACTCCCTATATTCGGTATTTCAATGATTTTAGCTACATAATTCACCGATTTTTTTTTAAGTTTCGCATTTGAATATCGTAATAGCTCATAACAAAATTTTGCCTATGTAGGTCCACGTCGTCGTATAGGCCCCAATATAATGGCTACATTCGGTATATATAAAGTTTTTGGCAGAATATTTAACGGATTTTTTTTTTTTTTTTTTTTTTTTGATAAATGCTCAATTCGTTCCAAATGGTGGGGGTTTTAAAATTCCGACCCTTCCGAACTCACAGCGTTCATACTTGTTTCGTTTTAGTTTTTATTTTTGCCCCTATGGGTTTTTTGTTTTATTTTGCCTCCTGCTTTTTTCTCCTCTTCTTCTGAAGAATAGCTACTTCTGCTCGTAGTGAGTCTCTTACCACTGGTGGGGGAAAATTCCACGATGTAATGAGCTTACTTTTAAAAATTTCCCAAGAGGTCTTTCCAAATAAATTGTTTGGATTCTTTATTATTGTATGCCATTAAGAGGATATCATCCACGTATATGGCTATCCTTCGTCATGTATCTTGTACTCTACTAGCTTGTGTTGAGGCCGTAAAACGACTCGTTTGGCATTTCGGACTACAGGTGAAAAGGATTATTCATACATCGGATACCTCGGAGACTATCCGTTGACCGTTGCACTTTGACGGTCTTTTTGGGATAATCAGAGAATTTTAATTGTTTCTATTGACAGCTTTTCGTTTTTTTCCTATTTTATGTCGTCTCTCCCTTTGGAGTGCTTCATTCAACAGGCCAACATTGTTTTTGTTATTTGTGGGGGATTTTTTGTTTTGATTTGATGCGTTAGAGTGAGTGAGAGACAGGCAGTGAGAGGGAGAGCACGGACAGATAACGGAAGGGACAAATGAGTATATAAACAACAGAAAGTTAGTTATGAACTTGCACGCTTTTGCATAGTCAACATGCTCTTTGATTATGAAAACACATTTCATCGTTTCTTCAAGAACTTCACTTTAATTATTACCCTATTTTTCGATGTCATCAGGATCCAAGTGGGCCATGGATGTCATCACGACGTTATTTACACTTATATTTTATTCTGGAATAGGTTTTAATTGTAAAATATTCTTCAGTTCTTGATATATTTCACATTTCAGATTTAAGTGACTTTAATATTTTCCCTCATACCCCTGAAACGACATAGACGACATCTGCTGATCCTATTTTTTTTTTCGATGATAAACGGTGAGAGCATTCCCTTGTCTATATTTCCATTAGTCTATGACGGAAGCTGCATTTTAGCGTCATTGAAATGCATTACTTTTCGCGAATTTCTCGGTTTATTTAATTTTTTTATTGAGGGGGTTGTTTTTCGTTGTTCGTTGTGACAGGGATGGAAAATCAAAACTTGTACATTTTAATAAAATTATTCAGTGAAATTGCACTTTTCTATAATTCAAAACACATTTTAATTACCACTTACTACAATAGTTTAGGAATATGTAACTCATTTTCTATTTCAAGTAATTTACGTTAGTGATAGGTATTTTTACCCTGATCCGGGGAAACTATTTTTTTCTTGGGGGACGGACCCGGGACACCAGATTTTTGACCCCAAAGACCGGGTTCAAGACCCCAACTAGACGCGGTATAGGCAATATAGGCATCATTGGAAAGCTTATGAAAATACCTTTCCAAAAGGTGTTCACATGATGTGGTAAGTGGTCACGGTTCGATTATCGATTTTTTGGACCCGGGTTTTTTATAAAACCCCCAAAAAGTCAAAAAAGGTCCCATTATGGGGATCAAGAAAATTAATGTCAATTTATAGCTGATACTCTCACCTTCTGCTGATCTCAAAGAAAGAGCATTCCTTCGTCTATATTTTCATTCTCCTATTTTCTACCTTCAGATTTGCATTTGTCACATTTGCCTACATTGTAATAACATATTTTAAAATCATTCTCATAATCGATCAAATGGTATAAATGTGGCACTGAAAAACTAAACTTTCCATCCCTGTGTTGAGTGCAGAAAACCCAGGCACGCACGTACGCACAAACACACACACGAATTTGACAACACACAAAGGAACAATTATTGTTGTTGTTTTTTTTTTCATTTGCGATTTCAACATAAATAAACTTGGTTTGGCATGTTGTCTTTTTAGTTAGCTGGCCACGGATACGACTCGCATTGTTGTTGTGACTTTCGCTTTTGATATTTGTTGATTTTATGTGTGCTCGTTGTTGTTGTTTTTTATATATTTTGTATTATTTTAAACTTTGTTTTATTTCATTTTCTTCAAAGATTCCCACTACACACAAACTGATAAACTTTTGTTTTGCACACTCACTTGTCCGGCTCACCAAATCTCATGTCACTTTTCATTTCAAAGCTCCACTCTAAGACCACAGTTGTTATTGAGTAATCTTAGCAACAACAAAAAATAAAACTCGGAACTTGGTTTTGGCTTAAATTTTGCAATAAAAATCGGATTTGGTTTTTATTTATTGCTATTCACAAATTTTACCAATTATGGCTTTTGCCCAAATCGATATGGGGGGGAACATCTTTTGACCTTTTTAAGAGTCAACTTCCTATTTTACTCACTCTTCTTCTTCGTGTACTTCCTTTTACATACTCGCAAATAACAATAAGGAGAGTTTCGTTTTTGTCAAATTTCTTCCATTTGGTCTGTCTGTTTTGTTTTCATATGTTTTTTCATTTAACACACACCTTGCGTTTTCCATATCTTATTACCTTGATAATTATTTTCTTTTTATATTCATATTTTAAATGATTTTCCACATCATATTAACAATACATTACAAGAATATTTGCGCCTTTTTGTTTGTTGTTTTGTTTGGAACCGTAAAAACACAACAACTTGTTTTGAAAAAACACACGACGACGTGCGCGACACGTAGAACACCGTTGAAAGTCGAGTGTGAAACTAAATAGGGATAAGTAAGTCGACTTTCGACTTTGCTGTCGATAAAGGCTGAAGGCCGATTTTTTAATCGATTTATTTTATTCAGACCACAGATGTAAACTTATTTTAAAAAATATATATAAAACTCAGCATTTTTCTGATATTTACCATGGTAGAAGAATATAGGTAGATGCATTAACGCTTGGCAACATTGATATGTCAAAATTTTTAAAATGTTTTGTCATAAATAAGTAGATTTTTATGTTTTCTCATACGACGCAAATCCGAGGTTTTTCTGATATGTATTTTTCAACAATTTTTACAACAATCAATTATTTTTCATTCATAATTTTCAATTCTAAAATGAAATGATGCCCTAGCAGCTGTGTCGATGCGACTACCTGTATTCTTCTACCACGCAATTTTTCCCTGTTGCTTATCATTTGATAAAATTCTGACACAAAACGGGCACGACATCAGGGTGGTGAATGTTTTTTTTTTTACTTCGATAATCGATTTTCCTTTTATGATATCAAAGAAATGGAAAGCTAGTAGATTCTTGCAGGTTCTGGTACAGATCATGGTACAAGAATATAGGTAGATACATGGAGCATTGATATGTCAAAAAATTTTAAATGTTTTTTTAAATATAAGTAGATTTTTATACGTTTTCTTATACGACGACATTCGGAGGTTATTATAATTCGTGTTTTTCAACAATTTTTACAAATTTAAATACTTTTTCATTCAACATTTTCAATTCCAAAATTGGTTTGACAGTTCATTGTCTCAGCAGCTGTGTCGATGCGTCTACCTATATTCTTCTACCATGAGGTAGATACATCAATGCTTGGGAACATTGATATGTCAAAAATTTTAAAAAGTTTTTATCAAATATAAATAGATTTGTATAGGTTTTCTTATACGACGTCAATCGGAGGTTATTATAATACGCATTTTCGACATTTTTTTACAAATTTGAAAAAATTAATTTCATTCAAAGTTTTCAATTCCAAAATTGGCTTTCTATTGACTACTAGTCATGGTAGAAGAATATTGGTAGACGCGTCGACACAGCTGCTGGGACAATGAACTGTCAATCCAATTTTGGAATTGAAAATATTGAATGAAAAATTATTTAAATTTATAAAAATTGTTGAAAAACGTGGAATATAATAACATCCGACTGACGTAGTATAAGAAAACCTATAAAAATCTACTTATAATTGCAAAAAACATTTAAATTTTTTCGACATATTAATGATCCCAAGCGTTGATGCATCTACATACCTGTATTTTTCTACTATGCAACTAGTTTTGCAACTTTTGCCGATATCACAAAGACAAAATCGGTTATCGAAGTGAAAATTTGTACATTCTTGCAGTTCTGGAACAGATAAGCTGTCAAATTTCTGTTCATTTTTTCTATAAAAATTTTGTGATTGTTGTCGGTAATTGCAAAAAAATTTTACAGAATCACACTACTGCTTACAGATGATTTTGCAACTGGTTTTAAAGGTTCCATTTAGTGAATAGTGTCATTGTTTGAATATTGAACGCTAAAAATGAATTTTGTAGGGAATTTTTATTTTTGAAATAATTATCAGTTTTCCTCACAGAATTTGCAAAATGTTGCGATACAAAATTCTGCTCTGGACATTTTTAAATATTTTTCAATGCCATATTATAAATGTATGAACGAATTTTTCGATTGTTGTCTGCCGGGTAAATGAAAAGTGTTGAACTAGATGTCATAATTCGATTCAGTGAATACATCTTTTGGGCACTCATGTAACACCGGGCCGGTACGTGTTCTTTGAAATATATTAAGATGTTAAAGAAACTCCAAAGATTATCCACCAACAGAAGCAACATATTTAAAGGCTACATACAAGGCAGATTCTATGGCATCGAGCAGCAGGAACAACCGCTAGAGTCGTCGGAGGCGTCGTCTGGCAAAACCACAACTTTCTCAAAATACAGCACAGAGGAGGTCGATAAGATATTAAAAAGCCTTAACAACTATAATTTAAAGGAACTTTTAAGGTAACCTTGGTAGATATCTCCAACATAACAAATTTACGAATTTTCTTCTTCTCATATTACAGTTATGAAATTACCAAAGGAAGAGCAAATAAACTGCTAGCCTGGCGTATGCGTAACGGATTGCTGACCAACTTATCGGATATTTTTTTCATTGAAGGATTTGGTCCAAAAGTTGCCGACAAATTCTATCAGAGTCTTTTGCAAGATCCCAAACCGGAAAATGTTGAGTTGGGCAGCAAGACGAGTCGGCTGAGGACAGCACCATTCATTACCCCGGTTATAACACCAGAACAACAAATACAAATTAAATCATGTGTTTCCGTAAGAGTTGGGGTGAATAGTATTACATGGGCAAGATTGGAATTGGCTGGCGGCGACAATAATGAACCTTGTCAGCTGACTCACTGGCAGCATCATGAAATATCTGAGAAAAAATTACATTTACATGAATTAATACAAAGATGTTTATATGTTAATCACATGATTCCCGATGCCGACTGTTATCTCTTTGAAAATCCCCAGATGGCTCAGGCCAGTAACAATCACGGCAGTGTGGAGCAACAGAATATCAACATACAAAAGGCCCAAGTGACTGCTGTAATGGGTTATGCTTTGGCCTCGCGGCATTCAAATATCCCAAAGGCGATCGACAATGAGAATGAGCCAGCCAAGGGATCGTTGATATTCTACGTTAGGCGTTTCTTGACCGCTCGCCTGTTTAATCACTTGGTGGGCACGGAACGAATATCTTCGGAGGACACAATTATAAATATGATGCGTACCTATTATAATGTTAATGATTTGCTGCCGGAACAAAGCGAGGAAGCTAGTGAAGAGTTAAGGTCCGATACTGATGTGAATGAGAAGAATAATACTAACTCCAACATCGACCTGAGAGGAAATGTACAATTTCCAATGGATCTAAGGCAAATGTTTTCTAAATCATTACGATATCATCGTGAATTTTTGGGTCAAGCATTGCTTCTAAATTTGGCATTTGTTAGATTGGTATTATTACATGATCCCGAAAGTATAGCCAAAGTCTCCAGGGGTAATAAGTTAAAAAATGAAAATGTTTCTAGTTCGGAGACATAAATTATTTGTTACTGTGTTAAATGTAAATAAAACGGAAGATTTGTTATTAGTTCGATTGTAGTCAATGCACTCACAAAGCCGATGCAATGGGCGATGATGAACGGTTTGGGGGCGCTAGAGTTTCCCAATGCTATTTATATTGCCTTGCTTGTTCCTACAAACATCGGAAATAACCCGCCAAACACGAACAAAACTTTAAAGGCCAATAATTGGGGAAGAACAAACATCCCCCAGATAAAATCCTCCAGATCGATCAGAGAGGAGGCCCTAGACCCAATTTAAATAGAGAGCAATTTCGGTATTTGAGTTACTGAAAGTTTGTTTATTCCATGGTAGAAAAATATTCCAAGGCAGGGCACATGGTTTCAATTTGAAAAAAAAATCAAATACTAAAAAAAAACTAAAAAAATGCGAATATTAGGTGCTACTGTGGGACTATACGAAAACGTGGATCTTTATAGCATATTATATGACAGAAAAGGCGATACCTATAACAAACTCCAAATACCAAGTTTGAGATAATTCTGTTGAAAAGTCTAGCTAAAATCATCGAATATTGGGTGGGAAAACCAATTTTCTGTCAAAGGAAGCAGCAGTACTCCAATTTCTAAATTTGAAATAATTCTTGCAAAATAAGATGGAGATGGGCCTCTGTAGCCTATTATCTGCCTGAGAATGCAATGGCTATTGCGAATCTCAAATACCATGTTTGAGATGATTCTGTTGACAAATGTAGCAAAAATCCTTAACATACCGAACATCTAGAGGTACAACTTTTTACCAATACTTATGTACTCCACAAGATTGATATTTGGTACCGGACATCAGATACTGCTCGAAAATACCTCTGTAAAATTTTATCAATTGGTTGGTTCGGATTTGGATGTAGCTTCCATATATATCTTCAACCGATTTCGGGTTAATTGTGCACCAAATACCCAATATCAATCCAAAACTCCTGAATTTTGGTACATCCGACCGAATTCAGTCTAGATGCAAAACAACGATATATATAGCTATAGCTCCCATATATAGGTTTCGTCCGATTTGTTGTTTAAGTCCCTCACATTTGTAACAAAGATATTTGGTACCCGATATCATATAGAGCTCGGAAATACCTTTGTCAAATTTTATCGAGCACGGCTAAGATTTTGATGTAGCTCCCATATATATCCTTAATCCGATTTCCGGTTTATTGTGCAAATAATGGCTTATATCAGCCCAAATGGACTGAATTTCGGGACGAAAGTTTAATTTTGTGGAAAACGGCTCCGATATATATAATTTTTTTAATATAATCTTTCTCGAAGTGATATCATGCACTCTATAGCTATCTTATTCCCTATAAAAGATTAAATTTAGTGAAAATCGATTCAGAATTGGATATGCCTCCCATATATATTAGTTTCCTCTGAAACCAAACTATAACTGCTCTAAAGTCAAATGTATGAACTACTTCAAATAAATTCCATTGTTACGGGAGCACTATTAAATATGCATAGTGATGTAGGGTGTCATATAGTCGGCCCGCCCGACTCTTGACTTTTCCTTACTGGTTTTATATAGAAGAAAATCGCGGGAAACGACCGTAGTTTTTTCACAACGTCGAGTCTGTAATACAATTGAAAATCTCTTTCATACCAAAACGGAAACGTTGGCTATTCCCAAAAGCTGTAATATGATTTTAAGGAATTTGAAAAATTGTTAAATTACTTTGTTTTTTATTAAGAACAATACGAGACTACCAAAAGAACTCTGGTGATTGATATGCCCTAGCTCGTCTTCATTGTACCAACGGTTGTAACCATGGTACAATGAAGAGAAGGTAGGTCAACTTTGAAAAAATTGCAAGTATAGAGGTCTACCCATGGTACAATGAAGAGAAGGTAGGTCAACTTTGAAAAAAATTGCAAGTATAGAGGTCTACCTGTTTGGCTTGTAATGTCAGAATTAGTATCAAAACAATAAAAAATCAAACAACTTGTTGCATTTATTTCGAATAAATAATTTCAAACCGCGAAAAATGAATGAAAGGTCAAAATTTCTTTTCAAAATTAAGTTCTATATATCTCTTATGGTTTATTTCGCAACAAAAACTATAGATTTTGTCGAGGTATACGTTGCAATAAGCATTTTGAAAACACCCAAATTTGAATATTTCCTGAAAATTTTTTTATTATTGAAAAAATACACATACATAAACAAATGAAGTTGACATATTAAGCCAGAAAAATAAAAAAATTGAAATCATATGGTTGTTCTGCCCTACCTTGAATTCATTGTACCATGGGTCTACCTGTTTGGCTTGTAATGTCAGAATTACTATCAAAACAATAAAAAAGCAAACAACTTGTTGCATTGATTTTGAATAAATAATTTAAAACCGCGAAAACTGAATGAATGGTCAAAATTTCTTTTCAATATCATGTTCTATATATCTCTTACGGTTTATTTCGCGACAAAAACTTTAGATTTTGTCGATGCATTCGTTGCAATAAGCATTTTGAAAACACCCGAATTTGAATATTTTCTGAACAATTTTTTATTATTGAAAAGAAGACACACACATAAGCAAATGAGGTTGACATATTAAGCCAGAAAAATAAAAAAATTAAATCATATGGTAGTTCTGCCCTACCTTGAATTCATTGTACCAACGGTTGTAACGTGTGTGGCTTGCATAAGGGTTTCACAGATCGACAAATCAAAAGTCGATTTACATATCCCTAATAAAACACGTCACAAGAAAAAACACACGTAAAAATTACGAGAAAAGAAATAAAAGAACATAAGAATAATTAACTGTTGTCAAAAAATAAGAAAGGAAGAACAACCTGCAACATTAGCTATTTTTACATTTCAATTAATGTTTTTTTATTCAGTAAAATAGAGAAATTGCGGAAAATAGAATACACAACGAAGACACTACACAACAAGAGCAAAGATTCCAACTCCATCAATAGCTACAAAAACAACGAGAAATACATACCCCCACTTAAGAGAAGCATTAGCATCGATTCCATCCCATACATTGCCCCCAAAGATTTCAAGCACCTTTGGAAAACGCTTGCAAAATTGTTGGAAAAAATCGAATAGGAAAAAGTGTTGTTAACATTTTGGCACGAACATACACACCCATCCCAGAACTCCACCACAATGGCCAATCAATCAAATGGACCCACAAAACAGGAAATGGAGGCCGTCTTTAGTCGCCTAAGGTCTCAGCCAGCCAACAAAGTAAGTCATCCCACCTCTTCAAGTCCTCCTTTTGTGTGCGTTCGAATTGATTCGAGTTTTTTTGTGTTAAGAAAAAAAGGTTATAGTCATTTATTGACAACGAGGCCAATCAACTTGTCTCTCAATCTACGATGACGACCCTGAACTTTAGCAAAGTTTTTATTTGATAGTTGTTAATTCGCATTGACACGTTTTACAAATCAATGACAATTTCTATGAGTATGGAGGCTCGGGTACATTTGCATTTAATGGCAAGTGAAGCGAAACGTTTAATAGAATTTACCTACAGCATGTTCTTTGTTAGAGATCACAACAACAAATGAAGAGGAGTACGGGCATTTGAAAATTATGTCAGGCTACAAGTAAAATTTGGGAGTCTTGATGGACAAGTTGAAATCAGCCTCAAGACCCAATTAATTGGATGACTCAAAACGTGGACTACTTCAAAATGAGTTAAGGCTCCGGTATTGTGCGACTGAAAAGAAAATCAATGCAATTCAAGATGTTTAAATGAGAAAAAAGAACAACCTTATCCTTTGGATGTAGTTTCAATTCAGGATCCGGCTCGAAGGACCAATGTTAACGATAATAGAGTCCAATTTCCCACTTCGATTGTCAAGAAGAGAAAAATAATCTTTCAATCAATCGGAAATAATCCTTACACGTATAAATCTGCATCTAAATCTAATCCGACCATTTAATTTATCTTTCTTTTAGGCCTGTTTCGATTGTGGCGCCAAGGCTCCCACTTGGGCCACAGTAACCTATGGTGTATTTATCTGTATTGATTGCTCTGCTGTTCATCGTAGCCTTGGTGTTCATTTGACTTTCGTGCGTTCCACCAATTTGGATACCAACTGGACCTGGTTGCAGCTGCGTCAGATGCAAGTTGGCGGTAATGCAAATGCCAATGCATTCTTTCGTCAGCATAACTGCAACACCACAGATGCCCAGCAGAAATACAATTCAAGGGCGGCTCAATTATATCGTGACAAATTAATGCAACTGGCCCAGCAGGCAATGAAAGTGCATGGGACAAAGGTAAATAGATACGCCCAATGGGTTGGATGCGTTCGTTTTTCTTTCTTGTTTTTATTTTCCGTTACTTTGTTATTCAACTAACATGTTTTGTTTTGCTTTATGTTTGTTACTTTGCATTGGAATTTGTTTGAAACTAATCTCTGTACATTGAACCCAAAACTCGGCAGCTATTTTTGGATGGTACCACAGAAAAGCCGGAGAACAATGATAATAACAAAGAAGTGGACTTCTTTGAACAATGCCATAATGATAATAATAAGGATTCATTTAATAATGATAATAACAATATTCAAAGCAATATTGAAAAGGTAAGTTACACGTTCAGTTTCCAATAAGGCATGTTTTGCGTTTCAAATTTAAATTTAATAAAATTTGTATTGAAAACATTTCGATTTTCTTTCTTGTTTTTAGATTGATGTTTCTTTGAAGCCCTCAACGCCAACACCCACCGCTGATAAACAACAACAACAACAACTGTCGACTGGTGCTCCAAGTGTTGATCTATTAAATTCCATGGTGAATACACCAACAACTGTTACACCCTCTATTGGAGTACGCAAAATTCAACCCAAAAAAGGAGGAGTAGGTTTTTTTTTTGTCAACTTTCTGTTTTTCATGTTGTTAATTTTTTGTTTTTCCCCCTTTCAGTTAGGCGCCCGCAAAGTTGGCGGTCTGGGTGCAACAAAAGTCAAAACCAATTTCGCTGAAATTGAACAACGAGCCAATATGGCCAATCAGCTCAAAGAGTCTCCCATTGTGCCTGATAAACCTCTTACGGCCGAAGAGGAAATTGAATCGGTTGCCAGCATGCGTTTAGCCTATCAAGATTTGTCATTGAAGAAAAGCCAGGAGGAGGCCAGATTGAAAAATATCGATCCCATAAAAGCCAAACAAATGGAACGTTTAGGCATGGGTTTCAATTTGAAGGGGTGAGTAATAAATAGTCTATTGGATTGAATATAATTTCATATGAAATTTAATCACATTTCTAGAGGAATAAAAGCTAAACTTCACAAGTTAAATAGTATCAGTCGGTTTTGCCGACATATATAGTTGAGTTATGGGACAGGTTCCGAAGCAGTTGGCCAGTTGGTATCTGACCTAAGTCTGATATAAATATTACAACATGACATATTTGGACTATATCATCTAATTCCTGTACTTTTAATGAGACCCTTTGTGGGGAGGTAGCAGAAGGAATGGTCTGATCTCTACCATCTTTATAACAGATCTTGTGCTGATAGAAATATTGAGATGAATCAAGTCTGAATGGAATCGGATGTTAATTTCGCGTTTTTAGAGCTCCATTGATATTCGAAATGTTGATTCTTTGTGGGGGAGGTACCTGAAGGAGTGGACCAATACATTCCATGTTTACATCAGATCTTGTGTTAGTAGAGATATTGGGATGTGTAAAATATGAAGGGAACCGGATACTTATTTCAGATTTTATGATCGTTTTGGTTATTCAAACGAATTCAAAGGAATGGTCTGATCTCTGCCATCTGTATAACGGATTTTGTGCTGAAGGAAATATTCAGATGTACCAAGTCTGAATGGAATCGGATGTTAATTCCACGTTTTATGAGCTTCATAGGTATTCAAAATGTTTACCCTTTGTGGGGGAGGTACCAGAAGAAGCGGACCGATATATTCCATCTCAACGCCAAACCTTGGGTTAATAGAAATTTTTCGTTGTTCGAAATTTGAAGACAATCGGACTCTCACATCACCCTTTATAAGAGTTATAATTATTCAAAATTTTGACCCTTTGTGGGGCAGGTACTTGATGGAGTGGGCCGATATTGTCCATTTTCGCACCTGAAGTAGCACTATGGCAAATGTTAGGATTTCTAAAGTTGGAGCAAAATCGGATTATCGTTTCTCTTTCTGTGCAGAAAATATTTTTTTTGAAAATTTCCACCTTTTGTGGGGGAGGTACCAGAAGGAGTGTACCGATATATTCCATCTTCACACCAGACCTTGGGTTAATAAAAATATTGCGATGTGTGAAATTTAAAGACAATCGGACTATTAACATTTTATAAGAGTTGTAATTAAAAAAATTTGAACCTTTGCTAGATGAAGTGTACCGACGTTGTCCCCTTTCGCACATGACCTAGCATTGATGCAAATAGGGTATAACAAGTGTGGCATGTAATAATTTAAGATTGATTTTTGTATTTTTATAGTCTACCATTCTCTGGAGGGTATATTAGCCTCCCGATATTCGGTATTTTGATGATTTTAACGACATCATTCACCCGCATTGTTTCAAATTTCGTTTTCGAAGTTTGTAATGGGTAGTACCGCCTATGCCTAAAAAATTCGTATGCAGGTCCACGTCTTCGTATAGCCCCCCCTAACGGTACCTCCCTTTATTCGGTATTTTAATGATTTTAGCGACATTAATGAAGATCTTAACGGGTACTAAACAATATTTTTTGTTGAAATTTTTCAAGTACCTTCCAAATGGTGTGGAGGGTATTAAAAATTCGACCCTGCCGAACTTAGCTGTTTTTATACCCTACACCACAAGGTGGTCAGGGTATTATATCTTTGTGCATTTGTTTGTAACAGGCAAAAGGGAACGAGATAGACCCATAGTTCCTTTTGACGATCTGCATAGAATCACATTCTGAGTCGATTTATGCATGTCCGTCCGTCCGTCCGTCTGTCCATGTATTTTTGTAAACAAAGTACAGTTCGCAATTATTGCCCTATCCAGATAAAATTTTGCACAAATCATTTGTTTGGCCCAAGGACGAACCCTATTGAAATTGGAGATAATCGGTCAAAATTTTGATATAGCTCTCATATATATCTTCGTCCGATTTGCCTTTAATTGTGCACCAAACGTGTAATATCAGCCCGAATAGTATGAAATTTTGCACAAACAACCAAGTTAGGCCTGAAAATAAGTATGCCAAATTTGATCGAAATCGGTCCAGATATAGCTATAGCTCCCATATATATTGTTCATCCGATTTGTTATTTTTGTCCTTCGCAGCCGTAATATGCTCTCTGTTACAACAATATTTGTGGAAATATATCAAATACAGCCCAGAAATACATGTGCCAAATTTTATCGAAATCGGTTCAGATTTGGATATATCTCCCATATATAATTTCGTCCGATTTACCTTATATTGTGCACCAAACGTCTAATATTTGTCGAAATGGGATGGAATTTGGCACTTAGGACCGAATTTAGTCTAGAAGCTGGTATGCCAAATTTGGTGAAGATCGGTTCAGATATAGCTATAGCTCCCATATATATTATTCATCCGATTTTTTGTATTTGTTACCCACAGCCGTAATATGCACTCCGTAACAACGATATTCAGGGAAATATATGAAATACAGCTCAGAAATATCTTTGCCAAATTTTATGGAGATCGGTTCCGATTTGGATATAGCTCCCATATATATCTTTATCCGATTTAAAATTAATTGTGCACCAAATGGCAATACAAGTCCGAATTTAAAAGATAGAAATGCGCGTATAGTCGTAGCGCGTATGATTGAACTCTTCCATAAAAGTTTTAATTGTTATGTGGAGCTCTACTACATTAGCAAAGTGGTGTAGGGTATCATAAAGTCGGCCCGTCCGACTTTAAGTCTTTCTTTACTGGTTTTAATTGTTGATAATTTATTTCACCTTTTCCCTTCGCCAAACAAAAAAGTTTTACCTTTTTTTCATTTTTCACTTTTCCAGCAGTGCTGATATATCCCACTCTGTTTTAAGTGACATGGAAACCATACAACAGGCTCCGGCTCCAAAATCATCATCATCAGTCACTTCATCAAATCTATCATCCAAAATGTCGGCATTCGACAATGATAGCTTCTTCAATGATTATTCCACCAGTATGTATAGTGGCAATGGCGGCGGCTTTTCGTCATCATCGGCGGCAACATCGAATAAAATCGACAAACAAGAATTAGAAATGATGGGTTTCGAGACAATCGAACCCATCGGGTCGACACATTCAAATATTACTTCGATGTTTAGTGGAGGCGTTGGACATGATGGCGATAATAAATCGAAACCAGCAACAACTTCCAGCAGCAGCAGTAATTATGGAAATAGTTATGTACGTAAAAACCAACAATCCGTTAGCAAGCAAAGCTATGATGATAATTCGGCTCAAAAGAAATTCGGCAGTGCCAAAGGCTTTGGCTCAGATCAATTCTTTAACGATGGCCAATCGCGAGAGGATGTTTCATCAAATCTATCACGATTCCAGGGCTCATCGTCCATATCGTCGGCTGATTATTTTGGTGATGGCTCTAGCCAAAGTAGTCGGGGTGGCTCGAGGGGTGCTGCAGGTGGTGAGTTGAAACATGTAGATTCATATTTTAAAAAAAATATAATTTTTTTCTTTTTTAACAACAGCTTACAACACCGGTGTGGTTAACTTTCAAGCGCCTGATTTGGATGATGTCAAAGAAAGCGTGCGCCAAGGTGTCCACAAAGTTGCCGGCCGTCTCAGCTCATTGGCCAATGACGTCATGTCTTCTCTGCAGGATAAATATGGTTACTGATAGTGTTTAGTTTATGTTGATAGACAGATATTGGTTATGTTTTCATAAAAAAAAATACTAATAATATTTGCTTTAGTTTAAATTTCTTTCTAATTTCTATTTTTTTTGTCCATGATATTGTTGGTATTTTATAAATATTTACTACTCTATATTTAATGTTCTTATTTTGTCAAAGTTCTAAATACAAAGAACATTAATCTTTTTAATTTTTGTTTTGAAGAAGAAAAAAAAAATATATAAGAAACCGAAGTGAATTAAAAATTCCATTTTAAATAGAACGTGTTCAGAAACACATACCAAATTCAATATTTTTACTATATTCCAAAAAACAAACACACACACACATGCTGTCAATATACATACATAAATAAAAATAAAAAAAACACATTTTAATTCAAAAGGATTACAAACGAAACAAAAGTGCGATACTTTAAATAAATCCATTTTGAAAAACAAAAGCAAAACTTAATATAGAAATCTTTAAGAAACCAGAAAAAAAAACAAAACAAACGAAAACATTATATTGTGCACCCCTTTAAAGAAAATGTTATGTTATATAAATATATTTAGCTATACAACAAAATGTATATTGGAAACAAAACCCATTAAACAAACAAAACAACAATAATAAAAACAAATCTAAATGAACTTCCCATTAAAAAAAATAATAATTAAATTATAAACAATCAGGGCTGTCATAGAAACAATTTTGGGACTATTGGTTTTAAAAACGACAAGAAAAAATGATTTGGTGTCATGAAAATCAATGTTATCGGTTTTATTTTCGAATTAGAATTTTATCGGTTTTGGTTGTCATAGAAGCCAATGTTATTGGTTTTGTTATTGGAAATAAACCAAGTTGCTTAGAGCTGTCACTTTTCATTTGCATTGGATTTTTTAAACAATTTTTAAAGGATATTCAATGGACTAAAAATGTGGATTTTTCAAAGATTTTTTAAAGGATATTTAAAGAACCATAAACGGGGATTTTTTAAAAATTTGTTAAAGATTTTTTAAAGGACTATAAACGTGGATTTGTTAAAGATTTTTTAAAGGACTATAAACGTGGATTTTTTAAAGATTTTTTAAAGGACCATAAACGTGGATTTTTTAAGGAATTTTTTAAGGACCATAAACGTGAATCTTTTAAGGATTTTTTAAAGGACTAAAAACTTGGATTTTTTAAAAAAAATTTAAAGGACTATAAATGTGGATTTTTTAAAGAATTTTTAAAGGATATTTAAAGGGCCATAAACGTGGATTTTCTTAAGATCATAAACGTGGATTTCTTAAAGAATTTTTAAAGGATATTTAAACTACTATAAGCGTGGATTTTTTAAAGATTTTTTAAAGGATATTTAAAGGACTATAAGCGTGGATTTTTTAAAGATTTTTTAAAGGATATTTAAAGGACCATAAACGTGGATTTTCTTAAGATTTTTTAAAGGACTATAAACGTGGATTTTTTAAAATTTTTTTAAAGGATATTTAAAGGAGCATAAACGTGGATTTTTTAAGGATTTTTTAAATAATTTTTAAAGGACCATAAACGTGGATTTTTTAAATAATTTTTAAAGGACCATAAATGTGGATTTTTTAAGGATTTTTTAAATAATTTTTAAAGGACCATAAACCATAAATCTGCAAAGCAGCTTTATGAGTAAGTTCACAATAAAAGAATTTACTTACGCTATCTCCGGCAACTCCAGTGGGTTGCTGAAATCTCTAAGAGCTTTTCTCGTCACCTTTTCTGAGCGTTCTTCGTCCAACAACACAAAAGCTACCACTGCTGATGCCATCTTACTTTATTTATAGCGACTTATTCCTTTTTTTATTTACTTTACTTTTACTGATATTTCAATGACAAATAAACAAACAACACATGTAAGCAACAGTAGCTGTTTCGAACATTGGTTTTATTTACATTCGAAATTGACAAAACCAACTTGGTTTCATGACACCAAATGAAACCAACATTGGTTTACAAAAACGACAATAAGCAAAACCGACATGGTTTCTGTGACAGCCCTGAATATTTTTCTATCAAAAGAGAACTTGGCAGCTGTTGCAATTTTTGCGAATTTTCCACCAGAACCATTGGATTTTTATAACATCAGCCAAAATGGCTAAAGAGGATATATATCATTTAAAACGTGCCTCATCGAAATAAAAGTTTTAGACCCTAGGTCTCTTTGGACTAAATCCGTTTCAGGACATTTGGCGTCGATCTTGCGATATCCGTCTGTCTGTCTGTCTGGCTGGCTGACTGGTGCGCACGATAACTCTCGAAGGGAGTTTCCGATTTGATCCAAATTTTGGTACATTCAGGGTGCGATGAAAAAACTGCAACCAACTTCAGACTGCTGTCATTTCCAAGCCACTCGTTCGACAGCTGTAAAAATTATTCCAGTGATAGGTCATTATATTTTTTACAAGCGTACGAAAAGCATTTCGGTGAGATTTTTCCAGAAAAAAAAGTTATTCGTGATGGAATTCAAGCGTGATAGTGTGATTTCTTTATATTTGGCTGGAAAACCACACGTGGCTATCGTTAGAGCATTCCAGCATTTAAATGTGAATAAATTGTGTCTCATAACATCGTTCGTTACCGTGATACTGGTAGCGTAGCCCGACGACGTCAAGGAAATGGACGGAAGAAGACAGCAACATCAGCAGAAATTGTTCGAAAAGTAAAAAAGCGACTTGTTCGAAACCCGTGTCGCAGTGGCCGAAAAATGGCTCGTCAGCTGAACATATCGCAATATTCCATTCGGCAAATATTGAAAAATTAACTCGGGGTTAAGTCATTGAAATTCCAAAAGGTGCAAAGACTTATACCGCAACAGAAAGAAAATAGACTCAAAAGAGCTAAAGAGTTGCCTCGCTTGGCCGAAAGTGGTGAACTGCCGAGTTTGGTTTTCTCCGATGAGAAAACATTCGTTGTCCAGCAGTTTGTAAACAAACAAAATGATCGTGTCTACTTGCCAAAGAGCACAGCTGGAAATGTGCACCTTCGGTTGGCCACCAGAACTCAAGCGCCGGCCATGGTGATGATGTGGGCCGCCATAACAGCCGATGGTCGCTCTCCGTTCGTATTAATAGACCGTGGCATCAGAATAAATGCCGAATATTGTCGCGAAAATATTCTGGATGTTGTATTAAAGCATTGGGCATGCAAACATTTTGGCTGCATACCTTGGACATTCCAACAGGACTCAGCACCATCGTACTCAGCACTCGCCACCCAAGAATGGTTACAAAATGAGGTTCCTCGCTTCATTTCCCGCGCACAATGGCCAACAAAATCTCCCGATACCTATCCGTTGGACTATTATGTTTGGAGTATTTTGGAAACCAAGGTTGGCACTAAAAACTACCAAAGTATCGATCACCTCAAGCAAGCGCTTCGCCGGGAATGGACCAAAACGCCGTAGAGCAACATTCGGGCAGCGTGTGACGGTTTCATTGGCCGTTTGAAGGCCATAATTCGTGCCAAAGGTGATCAATTCAAACAAATCTAAACTTATTCTAGAATTTGATGCTATTTCCGACCCTTTTTTCTTTCTTTTTTTTATGTCACTCTGTATAACGGAACCCCTCAAATATTCGGTATTTTGATTATTGTAGCCAAATTTTTCAATGGAATTGTCTGAAAATCCACAAAAGGAAGTTTTCTGAGTACATTACCCCCTGCAAGAGTATTGTCTATATAGGTTCACGATATCGTATAGCCCCAATATTCGGTATTTTCATGATTTTAGCAACATTATTCACCGAAGCTATTTCAAATTTCGTATTTAGAGTTCGTAATAAGAACTTCAGTCTATGACAGAAAATTGTCTATGCAGGTCCAGGTCTTCGTGTAGGCCCCATATATCAGTACCTCCCTATATTCGCTATTTTGATGATTTTCGGTACAATATTCAGCGAAATTGTTTGAAATTGCGTATTTGAAGTTCCTAACAGATTCTACAGCCTGTGACAGAAAATTGTCTATGCAGGTCCAGGTCTGCGTATGGGCCCCATATATCAGCACCTCCGGGTGTCGAAATTGTTTGAAATTTCATGTTTAAAGTTCCTATTAGGTAGAACAGCCTGTGGAGGTTATTCATAGCTCGGCCTGGTCGAACTTACTGCTTCTTTACTTGTTTTTATACCCTACACCACAAGGTGGTCAGGGTATTATGTCTTTGTGCATTTGTTTGTAACAGGCAAAAGGAAACGAGATAGACCCATAGTTCCTTTTGATGATCTGCATAGAATCACGTTCTGAGTCGATTTATGCATGTCAGTCCGTCTGTCCATGTATTCTTGTGAACAAAATGCAGGTCGCATTTATTATCAAATTGATATGAAATTTTCCAAACAACATTTGTTTGGCCCAAGGACGAACCCTATTTGAAATTGGAGATAATCGGTAAGAAAATAGATATAGCTCCCATACATATCTTCGTTCGATTTGCCTTTTATTGTGCGCCAAACGTGTAATATCAGCCCGAATAGTATGGAATTTTGCACATACAACCAAATTAGGCCTGAAAATAAGTATGCCAAATTTGATCGAAATCGGCTCAGATATAGCTATAGCTCCAATATATATTGTTCATCCGATATGTTATTTTTGTCCTCCCCAGCCGTAATATGCCCTCTGTAACAACAATATTTGGGGAAATATATCAAATGCAGCTCAGAAATACCTTTGCTAAATTTTATCGAGATCGATTCAGATTTGGATATAGCTCCCATATATAACTTCGTCCGATTCACCTTTTATTGTACACTAAACGTCTAATATTTTCCCAAATGGGATGGAATTTGGCACATGCGACCGAATGGAGTCTAGAAGCTAGTATGCCAAATTTGGTGAAAATCGGTTCAGATATAGCTATAGCTCCCATATATATTGTTCATCCGATTTGTTATATTTGTTACCTACAGCCGTAATATGCACTCCGTAACAACGATATTCAGGGAAATATATCAAATGCAGCTCAGAAATATCTTTGCCAAATTTTATCGAGATCGGTTTTGGATATAGCTCCCATATATATCTTAATCTGATTTCAAATTAATTTTGCACCAAATGGGCAATATAAGTCCGAATTTAAAAGATACAAATGCTTCGGCATATTTAGTCCTTTGAATTTTAAATTTCAATTATAATCATAGCGTCTATGATTAAATTCTCCCATAAAATCTTTAATTGTTATGTGGATCTCTACAAAATTAGCAAAGTGGAGTAGGGTATCATAAAGTCGGTCCCGCCCGACTTTAGGACTTTCTTTACTGGGTTTTTTGATATTTTTTGCCATTTAACCCTCAAACGTGGATATATTTAAGAATATTTTGAACAAGGACTTATGGATCTTGAAACGAGAATTTATAAAAGAATGTTTTGAACAAGGACCTATGGATCTTAAAACGTGGATTTATAAAATAATGCTTTGAACAAGGACCTATGGATCTTGAAATGAGGATTTGTAAAAGAATATTTTGAACAAGGACCTATGAATCTTTTAAAGAATATTTTTCAAGGACAATTTATTTCCTAATGAGACATATTTATCTAAGCCTTATGGAAGATAGATTCGAAGCTTCGAAGGACCCCCACTTTTGACATTCACATGCAAACTCATCTTTTTTAAAGGATACAATTTTTTTTATTTTTTTTTGGTCGTTTTTTGTTTTGTTTTCGTTTAGATATTACAATTGAACTAAATCGTTTAACGGAAAATTTAAAAATTAGTTTAAAAAATAATTAAAAAAAAGTCGGTTAAATTCTTGTGAAAGGCAGAGCATTATGGCTTACAAAAATATGCATTAAAATGTATTAGTGTGGGTGGTGTTGGTGTGGGTGGGTGTGTGTGAAATGCCAATGCATCAGTCAAGATTTTAATGGAATTTGCCTGGACGAACACGGGCACGCACGGAATCAGGAGAGCCATAGGCAATGGCATGGCTGGTGGCGGAACCACCCTCTCCAGTGCTGAAGGAGTTGGCAATGGCAATGGCGCCACCGCTGGTACCACCGAAGTTAATGGGGAAGAAGGTACCGGCGGGAAGAGGTTTTTCAGCCTTGGTGCCAGCAGTGGGGGCCTTGGCGGGCTTCTTGGCAGCTGGACGACGGGCAGGGGCTACGGGAACTTCATATTCTACTTCTTCATCGGCATCGGCTTCATCTTCGACAGATTGTTCCAATTCAACGTAGACCTTCTTCTTGGATGGCAAATAACGTCTGGCGGGCTTGGCAACGGGAGCAATTGGGGCAGGAGCGGGCAATTCAGCGGCTACTGGGGCTTCAGCTTCAACAGCGGGTGCCTCAGCACCTGCGCCTTGTTCAGCTTCATAGGTGGCTTCTTCGGCGGAACCAGCGGCAGCAGCGGCGGCAGATTCTTCAGCAGCCTCAAAGTTGTAGTCACGTGGAACCTTGGCAGCTTCATCGGCGGCAGCCACCTCATTCTCCTCAGCCACAATATCAACTTCAGCGGGTACGGCGGCAACGGGTACAACGGGCACAGCTTCACCGGAGGCGGGGTAGGCTTCGGCTTCGCTCAAAACATCTTCACCACGTTCAGCGGATACATCAACAGCTGGACCAGCAGCGGCAACATCAGCTTCTGCGTGATTACAATCTTTAAATAATTTAAAATCGGAAAAAGGCAAACGACAGATGTTAGACGACAAGAGAAGGGGAGAATGTATTGTTGAAGGTGGGTTAGGATCTTGGCCAACTTACCTTTCAGATAGGTGCCAGTGGCAACGGTCTCACCAGCGACCAAAGCTTCGGCAGCCTGGGTAGAGCGGGCAAAGGGACGGGCGGGCTGGACATATTGTACGTACATCATACGTTGTGGAGCGGTATAGTAGGCAGCTGGCTGTTGATAGTAAACCATTCCTGAAAGGGGGTGGGGGAGAGATGTTATTAAATTTATTGTAAAAAAATGAAGCGTAATTTAGTGTGAAGACTTGGCTAAAATTTCAACGAGTGGAGACTATCTTCGTTTTGAGGATGGACAAGGTAGACATGGGTCTGGGCCTCAATCTTCCAGTGAGTCCTGTACTCCACTTTATCTGAGTAATTTACTCAATTGCTGTGGACAAATTGGGGACTTCTAATCGACTTAATTATGTCTCCAAAGAACAAGTTAAATAAAGTGGAGACTTAATTTTAATAACTTTTTATCTTGGAAACTTCATCTACTGATGTTGGGTCAAGTAGGGACTTAATTTCAAGCAATTTTGAAATGGGTAGATATCATTTAGAATTTCGAAAAAACGTGGAGACTTTCTCCATCCTTGGAGACTTCCAAAATTAACTATAAAAAACACCGGGCTTCAAAATTAAGTATAAGAAACACCGGGATTTGTGTTAAACAATTCTCCTAAAAATTCTCCAATGTGGAGACTTTATTCAATGTGATTTTAAAACGTGGTTACCTCTTTTTAAGAAATTTTAAATCGTGTAGACATCATTTAAAGTGAGCTTATATTGTGGAGACTTTATTTTTCCGAGTAGAAATGTCATTAAAAGTACTTCCCAAAAGTGGAGACTTCATTTGAAGTAATTATAAAACACGAAAACACCATAAGAAGGTGTTTTAAATAGCGGAGACTTTATTTGAAGTGAGTTTATAATGTGGAGACTTTATTTTCCGGTAAAAATGTCATTGAAAGTAATTCCCAAAAGTGGAGACTTAATTTTAAGTACTTATAAAACGTGAAAGCATCATAAGTAGAAGTTTTAAAAAGTGCAGACTTTTTTGAAGTGATTTTAAAATGTGGAGACTTCATTTTTCCCGGTAGAAATGTCATTAAAAGTAATTCCCAAAAGTGGAGACTTCATTTGAAGTGAGTATGAAACGTGAAAGCATCACAAGGAGATGTTTTTAAAAGTGGAGACTTCATTTGAAGTGAGTTTATATTGTGGAGACTTTATTTTTCCCGGTAGAAATGTCATTCAAAATAATTCCCAAAAGTGGAGACTTTATTTGTAGTAATTATAAAAGGTGAAAGCATCAGAAGGAGACATTTTTAAAAGTGGAGACTTTATTTGACGTAAGTTTATAATGTGGAGACTTTATTTTTCCCGGTAAAAATGTTATTCAAAGAAATATCTAAAAGTGGAGACTTCATTTGAAGGGAGAATGAAATGTGAAAGCCTAATAAGGAGATGTTTTAAAAAGTGGGGACTTTACTTGAAGTGAGTTTATATTGTGGAGACATTATTTTTCCAGGTAGAAATGTCATTAAAAGTAATTCCCTAAAGTGGAGACTTCATTTGAAGTAATTATAAAACACGAAAGCACCATAAGGAGAAGTTTTAAAAAGTGGAGACTTTATTTGAAGTGAGTTTATATTGTGGAGACTTTATTTTTCCCGGTAGAAATGTCATTAAAAGTAATTCCAACAATGGAGACTTCATTTTAAGTAATTATAGAACGTGAATGCATCATAAGGAGATGTTTTTTAAAAGTGGAGACTTTATTTAAAACGAGTTTATATTGTGGAGACTTTCTTTTTCCCGGTAGAAATGTCATTAAAAGTAATTCCCAAAAGTGGAGACTTAATTTTAAGTAATTATAAAACTGGAAACCATCATAAGGAGATGTTTTAAAAAGTGCAGACTTTTTTGAAGTGAGTTTATAATGTGTAGACTTCATTTGTCCCGGTAGAAATGTCATTAAAAGTAATTCCCAAAAGTGGAGACTTCATTTGAAGTGAGTATGAAACGTGAAAGCATCATAAGGAGAAATTTTAAAAAGTGGAAACTTAATTTCAAGCGATAATCGAACGTCGGAACCACATTTAAATAAATCATAAAACTTTGAGACATCATTTAATTCTGCTTTCAAATTGGAGACTTCATTTGAAAGAAATTATTAATCGTGGAGACTCCATGTGAAGTGAGTATGTATTGTGGAGACTGGATTAAGAGTAATTTTAGAAAGTGGTGATTTTCATTCGGAGTTTATAATTGATTTTAAAATGTGGTTACTTCATTTAAAGAAGTCTGAAAAAGTCTCCAAAATTTTTAAAAAAGTCTCCATCCTTTTTTTTCCGTTTAAAATTTAGGGGTTTCCTTTTATTTTAATTGGAATTTTAATTCATTTAAATATTTTTTTAAATTTTGGAGAAAAAATATGAATAAGTCTCCAAATTTTTTTAAAAATCTACTCCTTCTTTCCTCTATATAGCATTTTGGAGTTTTTAAATTTTAATTACTCTAAAAAATTATAAAAATGTTTTTACTTCTTTTGAAAAAAAAAAAAAAAAATTGAAACACTCCTAAAACTCTACACTCTTTTTTAAAAAAAATTAGGGTTTTAAATTTTAATTACTTTAAATAATTTTATAACTTTGTTGCTTCTTTGAAAAAAAGAAATTAAATAAGTCTCCAAAATTTTCTAAATCTTCAAAATATTCTAAAACTCTACACTCTTTTTAATACAATTTTGGGGTTTTTAAACTTTAATTACTTTAAATAATTTAATAACTTTGTTGCTTCGTTTTGAAAAAAAAAAAGAAATTAAATAAGTCTCCAAAATTTTCTAAAACTCTACACTCGTTATAATAAAATTTTTGGATTTTTAAATTTACTGTACTTCTTAAAAAAAAAATAAAAATGAAATAAGTCTCCAAAAATTTTTAAAAGTCTATACTCCGTTTTTAATAAAAAATTTCGGGGGATTTAAATTTTAATTAATTTAAAAAATTGTAAAATAATGTAACTTCTTTTGAAAAAGCGAACAGAAAAAGTCTCCAAATTTTTTTTAAAGTCAACACTTTTTTTCCGAATAAAATTTCGGAATTTTTAATTAAATGTAAACATTTTTTAGCTGTTTTGAGTCCCATAATGGTGTTATTGTTTGGTCTCCAAAATTCATAATTTTTTGTCTTTGTTTTTTAATATTTTTTGCGGAATTTTTTCCAACATTTTTTCTTTACACTTTGCAGTTGTTTTCACTTGAGTTCTTAAATTTTTTCAAATAAATCGTAACACACACACACACACTGAAACATACTTTTCTTGGCTGGCAATGTACTGGCACCGGCAACAAGGGCCACAACGGCGATCAAAGCAAGACTGAATTTCATTTTGTTGTTTTCGAAAAAAAAGTATCCTTGAGACAGAAACACTCCTTTATGCACTTGAAATGGGATTTCGTAAATTTTCAAACTTCAGACAATCGATCGATCAGCACTGGAGCTAAACTTAACTCTTAAGTTTCCACCAAAGAAGTGATGTCTTGGCCATGATTTGGCTTAGATTTATATAGTGGCAGCTAGGCACACGAACCAAAAAAAAGAAGGTGAATTAAAAAAAAAAACACCCAAGAACAACAACAACAAATAATAATAAATAAAAAGTAACGTAAATGTCCGCTTATATGGCAAAAAATCGCACACTTCATTTGCCGTTTAGTCTATTCCATTTCGGCATGTTCCTCCTCCCCCTACTCCAGTCTTCTTTTTTGGGATTTGTTTTTGAGCCACCACTGATCGCAAAAAAAAAAAAAAAAGATACCGGCACTTGCCGGCCCTTGTATTGGTAAGCGTCATCACCGCCCCACATTGCCACTTAACATTCAGGGAATGTTCTCCCCAGTTGCCAGCAGCTACTCCATTACCATAACAATGATTGTTGTTGTGGTTGGTCCCCTCAATGCTGAGCAACTTTGTCTCTGTCTCGGCAGCAGTTGTCGTCTTACCTTACTTGCATGTGGAGTGGCCAGCTAGCGCCTTCACGGCTGATCTTGTTCCCTAATTTTTTTTTCGGGATTAAGTAATTGTTTTAATCTGTTTTGGAGGAGATTTGTGTGAAAATTTCAGGAAAATGCAATACAAAATCTTAAAAAAAAAATTCCTTGATTTCAAATTTAAAAATCTAAAATTTAATATTTTTTTATTGAAAAAAAAATATTTTTTTAAAATATTTTTTAATTTTTGTTGTTGTTTCAAATTCAATAATTATAGTAAAATCCTGCAGATTATGAAAGTAGAGCTAAAAATAGACAGTAGCACGTGTACCGGTGTTTTGCAAGTTTACATTGCAAAGTGACCTAAATAGAGGGGAGTTTCCATTCTTAGTCAAAATCTCCCTTAATATTTCATTTTTTTGGAAAAGTGTCAAAGGAAAAAATATTCCCGATTAAATTTCAATATGAGTCTCTAAACCAAAAAAATGTGTATACTTAATATGAAGCCCGCAAATATATCATAAATTTTGAGGTGAAATATAAACGGCACATTTTAGGCTTAAACTCGTACTTTATGGGATTTGATGCAAAATACACCCACAAAACATCATTCTAGAAGGATACAATTAAAGACCAAATTGTTCATCATCAAATTTCATTATAAGTCACCAAAGATAACGAAACTCTATTTCCAGTTTATATCGAGAAAATATTTGCATCAAAGTTGCCAAAAAATATTTCCTAATTTTTGATAAATTTTTCATCGGTCTTTTTCGAGTTGACGCCTGAAAGTTACAAAAAATTTCTTTGTAGGCAAAAAGTGTCAAGAGAAGAAATATTCTACACAAAATTCTACTACGAATCTCAAAATATATCATATATCTAGGTGAAATAGTTTTTAAGAAAATTACATTCCAAATTTATACATTATAAACTGGAAATCATGTTTTTACTTTTTTTTGACTGTTAATTTAACACGTTTCCATTTTGGGGTAAAAACTCCCTTAAAATGTCACTTTTTTGGCAAAGTGTCAAAGAAAGCAATATTCTACACAAAATATCAATGTGGGTCTCTGAACAAAAGAACTTTGTATTTTTAATATGAACCGCCGAAAAATATCATCAAACTCCAGGAAAATATATGAATATTAATAAAACACTTAGGGATTAAAACCGTAGTTTATGTGAGTTTAAGCAAATACTCCTACAAAACATGATTTAAGAAGGATAACATTAAAGACATAATTGTTCTTTATCAAATTTCACTATAAGTCACCAAAGAAAATGAATCTCTATTTTCATTTTATATCGAGAAAATATTAGCATCAATGATGCAAAAAAAAAAAAATACAAAAAATATTTCCTAACGTTTTTATCAATTTTTCTTTGACCTTTTTCGAGTTGACGCCTGAAAGTAACATAAAATTTCGTTGTAGGCAGAAAGTATCAAAAATAGAAATATTCTACACAAAATTTCATGATAAATCTCAGAATAAACGATTAATCTAGGTTGAACGGTTTGTTAGAAGATTACATTCTTAACGTATACCATACAGAGTGAAAATCAAGTTTTAATGTTGTTTTACTGCCAATTTACCACGTTTCCATTTTGGGGTAAAAAACTCCCTTAAAATGTCACTTTTTTGGGAAAGTCTCAGAAGAAGAAATATTCTATATAAAATTTCAATATTAGTCCCTGAACAAAATAAATTTGTATATAAATTTGTATAGTTAATATGAACACCCGAAAAACATCATCAAAAACCGGGAAATTCTAAACATTAAAAAACACATTTTGGGCTTAAAACCGTACTTTATGTGAGTTTATGCAAAATACTCCTACAAAACATGATTTTAGAAGAAAAGCATTAAAGACAAAATTGTTCTTCATCAAATTTCACTATAAGCTACCAAAGAAAACGGAACTCTATTTTCATTTAATATCGAGAAAATATTTGCATTAATGTTGGCAAAAACTATTTCTTAATTTTTTATAAATTTTTCTTCGACCTTTTTCGAGTTGACGTCTGAAAGTAACATGAAGCTTAATTTTAAGCAGAAAGTGTCAAAAGAAGTAATATTCTACACAAAATTTCACTACGAATCTTAGAATATATAATATATCTAGGTGTAATAGTTTTTAAGAAAATTACATTCAAAATTTATACATTATAAAGTGAAAATCACGTTTTTATGTTTTTTAACTGCTAACACGATTATATTTTTGGGGTAAAAAAAACTCCTTTATTATGTCACTCTTTTGGAAAAGTCTTAAAAGAAGAAATATTCTACGCAAAAATTTAATGTTAGACTCTAAAAAGAAGAAATTTGTAATTTCAATATGAACAGCCGAAAAAAATATCATAAATTTTGATCTGAAGTCTAAATCTTACCTCAACGCCAGGAATTTATAAATATTAAAAAAAACTTTACACTTTATGTAAGTTAATGCAAAATACTCCCACAAAACATGATTTTGGGAGGATACCATTAAAGACAAAATTGTTCTTCATCAAATTTCACTATAGGTTACTAGAGAAAATGAAACCCTATTTTCATTTTATATCGAGAAAATATTAGCATCAATGATGCCAAAAAAAAAACAAAAAAGTTATTTTTTAATTTTTGATAGATTTTTCTTCGACCTTTTTCGAGTTGACGCCTGAAAGTAACATAAAATTTAGTTGTAGGCAGAAAGTGTTTAAAGAAGAAATATACTACACCAAATTTCATGATAAGTCTCAGAATAAACCATAACTCTAGGTTGAACGGTTTGTTAGAAAATTACATTCTTAACATATACCATACATTTGTTTACGTTGTTTTACTGCTAATTTAACACGTTTCCATTTTGGGGTAAAAACTTCCTTAGTATGTCACTTTTTCGAGAAAGTACCAAAGGAAGAAATATTCTACACAAAATTTCAAAGTGGATCTCTGCACAAAATAAAATTTTTATTCTAAATATGAACACCCAAAAAAATATCATCAATTTTGAATTGGGGGAAATGCCAAAATTATCGAAAACTATAAAAGATTTTTTTTATAATCCAAAATATCCAAAAATATCATTATTATTTTTTATGGTACGTATTAACAATACAAATTTCTTTTCTTCAGAGACTCATATTGAAATTTGATCGAGAATATTTCTTCCTTTGACATTTTCCCCAAAAAATGAAATATTAAGGGAGATTTTGACCTAGAATGTTTATGTTTTTAATTAGCATTAAAAAACGTAAACACGTAATTTATACTTGCAATATATATAAATTTCGAGTGAATTTTTTTCAGAATGCTGTCTGAAAGTCTCTGTAATGTGATGTGGAAATGAAATTGTTTTTGAGAATATAAACAAATTTCAATCCCTGATGATGATCGTCGATGCCGATCGAAATATTGGAAATAAAATGATGAAACAAAATGACAAATTTTTTATTCTACTGACCTCAAGCCAAACTAAATAAGAAAGAAAATTGAGTCCAAAGGTCAACCAAAACCATACAAACATTTTCTTGAAAACTATTAAACCTACATGTATGGTTTATTCTGAGATTTGTAGTGAAATTTTGTGTAGAATATTTGTTCTTTTGACACTATCTGGATAAAATGAAATTTTATGTCATTTTCATGCCTCAACTGAAAAAAAGAACGAGGAAAAAATTAGAAAAAAAAAAACAAACAAAACTAGGAAATATTTCGTTACACTGATGCAAATATTTTCTTGATATATAATGGAAATAGAGTTTTGCTGATTTTAGTGACTCATAGTGAAATTTGATGAAGAATAATTTAGCCTTTAATGTCATTCTTCTAAATTAATGTTTTGTGGGAGTATTTACAATTAACTCACAGAAGGTAAGGCTTAAAGCCTTAAATGTGGCGTTGAAGTTAGATTTAGACTTCACATCAAAATTTATCATATTTTTGCGGGCTTCATATTAAATTTTTGAATTCTTTTTCTTCAGAGACTCACATTGAAATTTGATCGAGAATATTTTTTCCTTTGACATTTTCCCCAAAACATGAAGTATTAAGGGTGATTTTGACCTAGAATGCAAACGTGTTAAACTAGCAGTAAAATAACTAAACACATAATTTTCAATTGTAATATATGTACATTTCGAATGCAATTTTCTTAAAAACTGTTAAATCTACATTTATGGTTTATTCTGAGATTTGTAGCGAAATTTTGTGTATAATACTTGTTCTTTTGACATTTTCTGGCTACAATGAAATTTTGTATAGTTTTCATGCCTCAACTCGAAAAAAGAACGAGGAAAAAATTAATAAAAAAAAAGAAACTAGGAAATATTTCGCCACACTGCTGCAAATATTTTTTTGATATATAATAGAAATACAGTTTTGCTGATTTTGGTGACCCATAGTGAAATTTGATGAAGAATAATTTTGTCTTTAGTGCCATCCTTCTAACTTGATGTTTTGTGGGAGTATTTTCAATTAACTCACTGAAGGTAAGGCTTAAAGCCTTAAATGTGGCGTTGAGGTTAGATTTACACTTCACATCAAAATCTATTATATTTTT